GCTCCGCGCAGGCCCCTCCTCCGGCTCCGCGCAGGCCCCTCCTCCAGCTCCTCGCAGGCCCCGCCCCCCAGCTCCGGGCAGGCCCCTCCTCCGGCTCCTCGCAGGCCCCGCCCCCCAGCTCCGCGCAGGCCCCTCCTCCGGCTCCTCTCCGCCCCCGCCCCCCAGCTCCGCGCAGGCCCCTCCTCCGGCTCCTTGCAGGCCCCGCCCCCAGCTCCGCGCAGGCCCCGCCCAGGCCCCGCCCACCTCCCCGGGCAGTCTGCGGCGGTGCCCCCGGTTCGGGCGCGCCCGGATGGCGGCGGAGGGCTTGCTGGAGGAGACACGGCCTCTAGGGATGTGTTTTCAGGCCGAGCTGACATGCCTGACGGACATGGGAGGTGAGGGAGCAGAGCAGGAGAACCAAGCGTGACTCGAGTGGTCCGTGCACGGCGACGAGGGTCCCTGGGCAGACAGGGTCGGGAGGCCACGTTGCCCTGGGGCGTGTGGAGTTTGAGGTGACTGTAAACTACCCGCGCGGAGAGGCGGGGGCAGCGGGGTGCAGGGCGGCCCCGCGGCAGGTGAGGGCTGTGAGCGCGGGGTGGCTCCGCCTGCCGGCCTGTGCTGCGCGCTGGGTGCGGGTGGATGAACTCTGACACACACACCCCCAGCACCTCAGGCGCCTGCCTATTGTGTCCTTTCCAGAACCTCCTGGTGGCCCCCAGTAAGGGAGAACGTTTGCACTGAAATGGTAGACAATTTCTGTTTATGTTTTATTTATTTTTGAGAGACAGAGAGACAGCGTGAGGAGGGAGGGTCAGAAAGGGAGACACAGAATCCGAAGACAGACTCCGGGCTCTGAGCCCGACGCGGGGCTCGGACCCACGAACCCCGAGATCGTGACCTGAGCCGAAGTCGGACGCTCAAGCGACGGAGCCCCCAGGCGCCCCAATGGTAGACAAATCTTGATTCTCACAGGCAACTGCTCCTGGGAAGGTCTTAAAGGTTCATGTCTGGGGGGGGAGGTGCAGGGGAGTGGGGAGGGGAGCATGTCACCCTAGTCCCTGGTCCTCACGGGAAGGCCATAGGACCCATGAACTGGTGACAGTGGTTCTCAACTGGGGGCACTCATGCCCCGCAGGGGACACTGGGCAGTGTCTGCGGATGTTTTTGTCACAACCGTGAGGCTTCTGGAATCTAGCGGGTGGAGCCCAGGGATGCCAATAAATGTCCTGCAACGTGCAGGACCCCACCCCACCCTGACAACAAAGAATCACTCAGCCCAAAAGGCCAACAGCACCAAGGTTGAAAATTCTAAAGATTCTAGCAGCTTAAAAGTCTAGATCATGGTCCGTTGGGGGAAGCGCCCCACTTGGTAGCAGGATTTGCTGCGGGAGAGGGTTAGGGGCAGCGGCCGAGGACAGAGGGAGATGCTGATTTGGGGGAGACCTTCCCTGCCTGCTGTCCGTGACTCCTGTGGCGTTCGTCCCTGGAGGGAAGGCGGGCGGTCCCATCTAGCAGGGGGTGTGAGTGACCTTGATTCCGCAGGACCTCATGGTGGGGTGGGGCACTGGCCATCGCCAGGCAATGTGCTAAGTCGTTACCCCACCACATCATCTACTTACGGGGCAGCGGCCCGGGCCACGGGATGGCATGAGCCCCGAGGCTATACCCGAAAGCTTTTGACTCATAAAACTGCTGCTGTAAACTAATAATTAGACTTTGGAGTTTAGTCCTTGGTGAGCTTACGAATTCTTTTTAGCATGCCAGACCGTGTGCAATCTATACAAACAGTCTCTTAATCAGTGGGTTTTTTTAATCAATTAATTTATTTATTTTAATGCTGATTTTGAGAGAGAGAGAGAGATAGTGCACCAATAGGGGAAGGTAGAGAGAGAATCCTAAGCAGGCTCCGTGCTGTCAGCACAGAGCCCGATACGGGGCTCAAACTCATGAACTGCGAGATCATGACCTGAGCCAAAATCAAGAGTTGGATGCTCAACCGACTGAGACAACTAGGCACCCCAGTCCATGTTTTTTTAATGTTTATTATTTTTACTTTTTTTGTTGTTAAAAAATTATTTTTGAGAGAGAGATAGAGACAAGATGAGCAGGAGAGGGTCAGAGAGAGAGGGAGTCACAGAATCCAAAGACAGGCTCCAGGCTCTGAGCTGTCAGCACAGAGACCGACGCGGGGCTCAAACCCACAAACTGTGAGATCATGACCTGAGCTGAACTCAGATGGTCAACCGACTGAGCCACTCAGGCACCCCTAAAAATTTGTTTTAATGTTCATTTAGTTTTGAAAGACAGAGAGAGACAGACCGTGAGCAGGGAAGGGGCAGAGAGAGAGGGAGACACAGAATCTGAAGCAGGCTCCAGGCTCTGAGCTGTCAGCACAGAGCCCGATGCGGGACTCGAATTCGTGAATATGAGATCATGACCTGAGTCGAGGTTGGACGCTTAACCGACTTAGTCACCCAAGCACCCAGAAATCAGTGTTGTTTTTTTTTTAATGAACAAAGTAGTTGCTTTTCTCTAACAATGTTCCTTATTAACATTTTTATTACCAAGGTGATATATGTTACATATAATGAAGGAAGATAATTCAATGATGTGTAATGAAAAATGTAATAATTTGTCATCATTCCTTTCCATTGCCTCCCCTGGAAATCATTGATGTCAGCAATCTGGTGCATATCCTTCCAGACCTTTCTGCATTCACTGCTTCCACCCCTCTTTGTAGTAGCACCCGGAAGATGGGTTGGAAGGTTACTGGAAAAGCCAAAGACTTGATTTCCAGATGATTGGTTCTCTTGAAAGGATACAGGATTCTGGGAGCTTCCTTCTTTCTGCTACACCCATGCCATAAAAAAGGGTTTTATGTGAGTTTGTCCTTCCCAGCTTCATTCATCCATGTTTCAAAGCTGAAATCCAGAGAGGCATACCCGGAGCAACGTGGTGTCCAAAACAAGAGTTATGAAGCAAAAGGCTGTCACAGGATATTTGTCACATGCACTGCTTTACATATGCGGGACCACAGCTTTAAAATGACCCCGGATGTTGGGGGCGCCTGGGGGGCTCAGTCAGTTAAGAGTCCGACTTCAGCTCAGGTCATGATCTCATGGTCGGTGGGTTTGAGCCCTGCATCGGGCTCTGTGCTGACAGCTCAGAGCCTGGAGCCTGTTTCAGATTCTGTGTCTCCCTCTCTCTCTCTGACCCTCCCATGCACACGCTGTCTCTCTCTCTCTGCCCCTCCCCCTGCTCACACTGTCTCTCTCTCTCTCAGAAATAAATAAAACATTAAAAAATAATAAAATAAAATGCACCCATATGTTCAAGAAGTTTCTACTTGTCATAATGTTTGATGCACCTCCTGCGTGCCATCCCCCTCCCCACACCGTGTGCTCTGGGAAGCAGCTTCTGTACCCGTGACGTGACATGGCCGTGGGGCCGGGCCCAGCATGCGCACGGGACGCAGAGGGCAGTTTCATCTCCCCACTCGCCGCCAAGAACGCTGCCGTTAATGGCTCCATCTACTGATCCCTTGGGTCTATCCAGGTAAGTAGTAGCTATGACCTGTCTGTGGTTCTCGCCAACCAGGGTAGTTTGGAAAACTAAGTAAGTACAGGTCAGCACCTGTCACCCTCCTCATAATCCATCCGGTTATATATCAGCTGAGGGCGGCTCAGGAAATTCAGCATATGCCTAACCGCTGTCAGCCGTGTGGACGAGGCTTGAAAGTATGCCGGTAACAGACACCCTTTTCCAGGTCACACAAGCCATGGGAAGAACCAGCGAGGCGTCCGGGCTGTGCTCTGGGCACCCTGCCCTCGACCCGTGACCCAGCTTCTAGGGTCTTCCACGTGCTGCAGCCTGGAGAAAGACTTCACTGTTTGAACACAGTTCCCCCACTGCCCCCCATCACAGTTGATCTTCACGGCACAGGTGGGAAGGCTGAGGTCCGCAGAGGCCACGGGCAGTCTGGCCGGGAGCAGACATTCTCACAACCCCTGCTCCCCGCCTCCCAGGACGGTTTGTTTTCACAGCCAAGCGGAGGTGAGCGTGGTGCCCCTACGTCGGATTTATAGGGAGCGCCACGCACAGACTAAAGCCAGAGGCGGGAGAGAGACAGCAGCGACATTTGTACCGGATTCTCCAGACACTCTCATTCCCAGGAGACTGTAAACAGCTCATTACACTTGCGAAGGTGTTATTAGGTGCGGAAGCGTCATCATGTCTTCTCCATAAATTGGCCCTTTATGGTCACGAAGTGCCCGTTATATATATGCGTGCCAGGCGGCACGGGCGCCTTG